AAAAGTCGTTCCGTAAACATCCACTAAATAACTACCTAAGAATCTATCTAGCTACCTACTTATCTAACCCAAAAGTTTCACGAAGAAAGGAGAAAATTGAAAATTTTCGTTTGTAGCCGGTCGCATCCGATTATAGCTAGTTCTCGAAAATTAAGCTCCCTAAAACTCCCGACAGACTGAACGGATCGAGTTCAAATTTTGCCTAGTAAGGTATCTCGCGGTCATTAACAAATGTGAATACACAAAATATTTTCAAGTTCCGTAAAAAGTCACTTTTAGGGCGCAGAGTTATTGCGCTTCGCTCGAATGCCAACGGTAAATTTGTCTGCGCGGACAATGCTGGAAATAGCCCTTTAATTGCTAATCGAAATGCTGCCTCTGGTTGGGAGACTTTCGATCTTATCACTCTGAATGGAGGCAATGTTGCTCTGAAGTCACATGCTAATGGACGATATGTTTGTGCCGAAAATGCAGGAAACGGTCCTCTGATAGCCAATCGCGATTCAATCAATGCATGGGAAACTTTCAGAATCATCGATCGTGGTAATGGAAAAGTAGCTTTTATTGCAATCAACGGACAATACGTCTGTGCTGACAATGCTGGAACTAGCCCTTTAATTGCCAACCGAAATGCTCTTTCCGGTTGGGAGACTTTTGATCTAGTCCCACGTTGATATACACCCATTGGATTTATCCAAGATCTATTTGAGATTTGTACTCTTCAAAAATTGTATGTTCTTGTATCGCTTTCATCGTTATACTAAACATTTTTTCGAAGAAGCGCTGTTTTTATTCTTTAGTGCTCTTCTGGCTTGACATTACTTTATCCTTAAACCTCATTCTTCGTCAATAAATATAGAACTGGTGAATTGCAGAACGTAAAACGTTTTGCGAATGTGTACGCGGAGGAACCTTGCTATCATCTCGTCTCACATTATACACAGTCAGTTAAATACAATATTAACTAGCTATTACAGTTCATCTAAATCATCTATTAGGATGTGTTCACTCATGATGAACATATTTAGTTAGATCTTGTTTTCCGATAAGTTCGAACATGTTCATTGTTTAAAGATACAGATTAACTTACGGTGTATAAATAATGAGACAAATGTCAGATACGTCTGTGATCTGACAAAAGATGCTAGGGTCTCGATTTGTTCTCTATTGCATAGAACAGTCTATAGATGAGCAATTCATTTTTCAGAACTCTTGTCAGTGCAGTTCTAGATAGGACGAAAATGTGGAACTCGCAAAAGATTTCAAAATTATTTAATTTGAGGGTGTGAGTCGAGCAACCATCATCTCGATTTCGTTTCAGCTACGAGAATCATCAGATGGCTTAGATCAGAAATAAAAAGAGGGTGTGAGGGTGTGAGTTTAAGTACGAGTTGTAGAATCCAAGCATCCTACGATATTTCGTCCTTGCTTAAGGGACTCATCAGGCAAGTTCGGAATTCTCCTACAGTTAGTCTATGATCTGTCCGGTCTTACAACGATTGGCTGTATTTCGCGACTTATCTAGAATAGTGAAACAACAGTTGTGTAGTTAATTTCATTGAACAGAGCTTGGACAGGTCACTTGTCAATACTCAATCACTCGCTTTCCCTACTCTCAAACAATCTCATTCTCGGTTCCTTGTAGAGTTGGATTGAGTGAAGCTGGATGGAAGCTAAGAGCAGTCACGAACGAGATTTCTATCAATGTATCTAGAGCAGAAGAAAAGAAATCATCTCAAGAATGAAGTCGATCGCAGATTGAGCATCGAATAGTAGAAAAAAATACAACAACTACAACAAATTAACGAATGAGCAGAAATCGATTGGAATTTCATTTTTGCTCTCTCGTATATACTTCTTCTGTGAACAAGATTTTAAATAGAAACAAATAGGCCTAGAGCAAATGCAAAGGTCGAGTTTGAAGCGATGGTCGTTCATGGTAGTTCGTTATTGGTGAATCTCTATAACTGATTGAAATCATTCCAAAAGAAAGAGAACATCGTGGGCTCTGGATGAGGGTGAGGGTGAGGGTGTGAGTACAGCTACCATAACTAGTTTCACGTCGGCAAAGACGATCTTCAGATGGCTTTAATCTTGTATATATGATTTCGAAAAATCACAAAGATTTAATAAAAACTGCTTAAATAACTCAAATTTCCGAGGAAAGGTTAAGTTACCCAAGTATTAAATACAAATCACTGTAGTGAGTTCAGCTACCACGACACGTGTTTCGTCTCGACAAGAAGACTTATCAAATGGTTTTAATATTCTTATGATCGAAATCAAAAGAAATTATTCTGTTGTACACTATTAAAGAATAATATACAAAGAAATTTTTCAGGTTACAGTAGTGAGTTCAGCTACCACGACACGTGTGAGGGTGAGGGTGAGGGTGAGGGTGAGGGTGAGGGTGAGGGTGAG